AACTCTTTGGCAACTCTTGGGAACTCTTTGAAAAAATGCATGAGAGTTCCGAGTTCATTGAAGGTTATTAAAACCACAAAATAATATTGAGACGGTGTGTATTAAATCTTGTATAATTGTGCATTCAAAAACCCTCTCACACAAATACATATACACACATATAATTAGACATGGACATATTCCTACATAAAATACTCACACGCATACAATTTAATGAAAACTTAAGGGACTGTACAAGCATTAAACATAATATTTAAAAAAAATGAATTTTTGCCGTTTTTGGCCACTAAAAATTGCCGTAGAGCCTAAAGATGTGCATTTTGAGCTTCGACCCCACTGACACTTTTGATCAGGGGTACAAAACGAACAATTTCCCAAATTTGTAGCAAATTTCACCGGAAGACCGTTTTCCATATAAAATGTGCGGGGTCTAGTTAAAAAAATAATTTTAACTAGAGGATACTTGATGTCCCTTCGAAGAAAATGAGTTAAAAAAGAATGTTTTAGTCACAACCCTGCTCCCGGAATTAGAAAATGGGCCTTTTTGCAAAAATGGGATGAATAAATGGAATTTTGCAAAAACTATTTGACCGATCGAGCCCATCTTTTGCACATCTCTTAATGATATAAAAACTCACATTTTGGGAAATATTTGTGAGATTTTATTAATTATTTAAAAAGTTATTAACAATTAAAGAAAAAGCACTTTTTCCGTTTAATTTTGCAATAACTTTTTTGTTTATATAGCAATTTTAACTTATAAAGTCTCATTTTAAAAGTGAGTTTATCTAGATCAAATCGTCTGTTGACCTTTTTTGCTAAGATTAATATTTTTTTTTACAATAACGCGTACAACGAAAAATGACGAATTTTTGACCTATTTGTTGATAAAAAACAATGACGCTATACTTTTTTCATGACCCATTTGATGAGACGCCTTTTGTACTATCATTCCCAAAACTTTTCAACAATAAAATCACACCCAGTAATTAATAAATTTCAAAATGTTTTCTTTCCTGGTTTATTAGTAAACTGGTCGTTGCTAGCCGAAGTAATATACACGACTGACTGCTGATTTTCCAGCATAAACTAACTTCGACGACAAGTTAGTTTCGTATTGCACTCAGTCGTTTCATTGATAAACTTACAGCCACTTGAAGATCATGATGGTCTTCCAGGATCCCGAGTCATCGGAGGAAACGAGATCCAACCAAACTCCGCACCCTACCAAACAGCCGTACTCTTAAACGGTACATTCGTCTGTGGCGATTCCCTGATATCAACGATTGCGGTCTTGACAGCTGCACCGTCGAGTAATTCTAAATGATCTACGTTCAAGCCTCGTACCAAGCTTTTGACTTTATTCTGTTCCAGAGCCTCATTCGTAGTGGTTGTCCTGGTGGCCCACAACTTAACCCAAGTCGAAGACACCCAGGTGCGAGTAACCAGCCTCGACTTCGTGAACCACGAGGAGTACACGGAATTCTTAGAGAACGACGTCGCGATAGTCTTCCTGCCGTCCCCCGTCACCCTTGGTGGTGCTATCCAAACTATCTCGTTACCTCTCTCTTCTGCTCCAAGTTATGAAGGCAATTCCGCCTACTTAACCGGTTGGGGAAAGACCGCAGACGACTCCGCTGTATCTCCCGTCCTAAGAGGGGTGTCCCTTGACGTCATCTCCAACGAAGAGTGCGCCGTTAGGTATATCCTCGTGAGAACGTCCAATATCTGTACCTCCGGAGTGGGTGAGTCTACTCCTCTTTCCTTTCTGTAAAAAATTGTAACTACCTATTTCTGTAGGGGTGGTAGGTGCTTGTAACAGTGATTCAGGCAGTCCTCTGGTGGTCGACGGGGTCCAAGTGGGTATCGTGTCCTTCGGTTCGGGAAGTTGCGTTGATGAGAGCCCCACGGGATTCACTAGAGTCAGTTCCTTCAGGGAGTGGATACGACTGAAGGCTGGAGTTTAATTTGTAATTGTAATATATGGTAGAATGTGGAAAGTTGAAACAATACACGAATGTAAATCAATCAAGTGTTTATTCTTTGTATTCAGTAGTTCTAATCTAATCTACCGGTTTACTGGAACGGATGTTGATATCACACTTTTTAGATTCAGGGTTAGATAAAATAGGTATTTTTTTAACTCTTTAATTTTTTTTAGGAGGTTTAAGTTTGCAATGCAAGTAACAAACATTAAAAAAGTTCTTGCGTCTTCTAAAGACCAGTTTTATTATCAATAATTTGAGGTTTGCTTATTTCTAATATTTATCTCTTTTTTAATAATAATAATACTGCCCCACAAACAAGAATCTACACAACGACATGAGTACATAGATTGTGTGTATTTTTTTTATGCTGAATCCGAATCGGCCCAAAAACCGATTTACCAAGTAATTTTTTAATAAAAATCCCTTAAATTTGGGTGAAACCACCAACAGACCAGAGTCCTACTTACCCCTTTAAGTCATACATTTCTCCATTCAATATTTTTGCCTGAATTTTGTTACCGGGGGTTTTTGGGGTCGCTGATTACGAATTTGAAGTTCAGATCCGAAAATTCCTGAATAAAAGATGGGGGATCCAATATGGCGAATGTAAAAATCGGAAAAGCATTCAGAATTTCAAGATTACGCTGAAACTTGTTACTCGTTGGCTTTCAAAGTCGCCAATCACGAATATAAAGTACAGAAAAGTTCACTCAATTTTACACAAAATGTATCAATTTGTGTCCACACCCGATCGAGTGAAATTTTCACTTATAATCTCCCTAGTGCTTGAATTATTACCGGACATTTTTCCGAAGGAACGCATTTTTTGAAAATTTTCTAGAAAAATGCGTGATTGAGGAAAAATTTCCGGACATTAATTCAAGGACGTGGGGGTTTCGGTAAGAAAATTGTACAACCAAAATTTATTTTAAAAATTTGACATGTTTCATTTGGAAACTTATTTCGCCAAAATAAAGTTGGCTTGACATTGTTTTGTGGTGCATGACATATTTTTAATGGTTCTTAATAAAACATAAAAAACAATACGTTCCTTTCACTTTAGTAATAAATGAGACATTTAATTTTTTAATTCAAATATTTACCTTTGCAATACACTTAGTATTACTAAAATAGAAGGAAAGTAAGTTTTTGTAGAAAAGCAATGTCTGTGGCAGTTTATCAAAGATTCTTATTAAAACATAAAAAAAAACATTCCTTTCATTTTAGTAATAAAAAAGGCATTTAATTTTTTAATTCAGATATTTATGTTTGCAGTATAACTCACTTAGTATTACCATTGTATAAGTAAATAAAACAGCGCATTGCATTCACTTTAGTAATGAAAAAGGCATTTAATTTTTTAATTCAGACATTTATGTTTGCAGTATAATTCACTTAGNTGAAGAGGGGGGTCAGATGAGCTTATATGTAAATTTTCAGGAAAATCCATGCTATCCGAAAAAATTGGGAGCTTTTACTTTATTTTTGCCTTCAGTGACTGGACTATTAACGGAACCACATTATGAAGTTATAAAAAGTAAAGTTTTCATATATGACATTTTATGCGTGAAAGTTGCTATTTTCTTAACCGTCATGATAATTTTTCCAGCTTGACTTGTCAAAACTGGTTCCAAACAACATTCACGTGGAGCCCATCAATTCCAGCCACCTGGACCTTCCTGGATCCAGGATCATCGGCGGCGCAGAAGTAGCTCGCAATTCCATCCCTTACCAAGTCGCCGTCATCATCAACGGCAACAGCCTATGCGGAGGTTCCCTGATCTCCGCCAGCTGCGTCTTGACTGCCGCCCACTGTACCATAAGGTAATCCATTCATCGAAGCGCTACACCTTCTCCAAAGCTAACATATCACCACTTTCCAGCGCTTCCTTCGTGCAAGTCAGACTTGGAGCTCACTACTTCAACATAGAGGAAGAAACCCAAGTACGCGTGACCAGCACCAGCATCAAGAACCACATCTACTACAGCGACGTAACTTTCGCCAACGACATCTCGGTCATCCTCCTGCCTGAGGAGGTGAACACCAACGACAATATTCAGGTCATTCCTCTAGCCCCGACCACGGCGGGTACCTTCGAGGGATCCAATGGTCTCTTGACGGGTTGGGGAAGAACCACTGACGCCTCCAATGCCGCTTCTCCAACCCTACGTGGTGTCTACGTCGACGTAATCGGCAACAACCTATGCAGGACCCTCTTCGGAAGCTTGATAACGGCTTTTCACCTTTGCACCTCGGGAACTGGTGAGTGTTATAATACGTTGCGATCCTAAGCAGTTACAAGTCTTTCCTTAGGCATCGTGGGTGGCTGTACGGGAGACTCTGGTGGCCCTCTGGTGATCGACGGAGTTCAGGTTGGTCTCCTATCCTTAAGTGCTTCCACCTGTGAGGCAGGACACCCGACCGTATTCTCCAGAATCTCCAATTTCAGGACCTGGATCACGGAAAATTCCGGCGTGTGACCGATTTTGGCAGAAATGTGACAGACGTAATATGTTGAATAAAGCACACAGAAAAAAAAACTCTTGTTTGCTGTAGTGTGTCGTTTGTTAATGTCGTCTAAATATTTGGATTTTTAGTAATAAATAACAGTTAAATTAGTATTGATAATTTACTATTAAGATTATAAGATCTACTGACATAGAAAGATAACCACCAACTCGATTTGCTACATTTTCAAGTCCCCATAAAAAGTCTGATTTAAAAGATCAACTTGTATCTGCAGATGTATATCTGAAAAGTGATAAAACAAATCTAAGCACGTAATCTCTATATTCAACGAAGCTTTTTTCTCTTTGGTAAGTGTTTTCTTTTCAACATTCTTAATAAATTACACGAGAGTTTTACCGCTGAACCGGATGCCACGTAGTATATTAGTATATTATTTGCCGTCATAGAAATTAGTATTATGAACCCCCTAAAAGGGGTTTCAATGTCTACTCTTCATTCCGTGACGACAGAAACGTTTCCTATTAAAATATCAAAGGGTCCCAAATCCAGTTATAGACCAAGAAATAGAGGTGAAAAATCATGGAGAACTCGTAAAAATTACTGGGCGTGATTTTATTGTTGGAAAGTCTTGGGAATGATAATACAAGAGGCGTCTCATCAAATGGGTCATGAAAAAAGTATAGCGTCACTGTTTTTTATCAACAAAAACGTCAAAAATTTATCATTTTTCGTTCTACGCGTTATTGTCAAAAAAACTATTAATCTTAGCAAAAAAGTTCAACGGACGATTTGATCTAGTTCATCTCATCATTCATCATTCATCACTCATCTTTAAAATGAGACTTTATCAGTTAAAATTGCTTTATAAACAAAAAAGTTATTGCAAAATTAAACGGAAAAAGTGCTTTTTCTTTAATTGTTAATAACTTTTTAAATAATTAATAAAATCTTACCAAACTCCCAAAATGTGAGTTTTTATTTCCTTAAGAGATTTGCAAAAGATTTGCTCGATCGGTCAAATAGTTTTTGTAAAATTCCATTTATTTATCCCATTTTTCAAAAAAAGGTCCATTTTCAAATGACTATTCCGGGGGCAGGGTTATTACTAAAACATTCTTTTTAGATTTATTTTCTTCGAAGGGACACCAAGTATACTCTAGTTAAAAATTTTATTTTTTTTTCAAATTTAGTTGTATACAGGGTGTCTCATAATTAGCTGCCAACCCTGAGCAGGCCGATTCTATGATCAAAACTAAGTAAAAAAGTTCATATGAACATGGGTCCGGAAATGCTTCCTAAGGGCACAGGGACCCATTGAAGAGGGAGGAATGGAAATCATTTTTTTGCAATATCTCTCAATCGCGTTGTGATAAATGAATGAAATTTGGTATACACAGCTAAATTTCAATGAGCAATTTGATGG